GCTTTTGTAATCAACAGAATCAACTCCTCCCCAGTACTTCATCTTCTCTCCATCACGTGACACCCACCAGCCGTGATCGCCACGAAAGAGCCTTGAATGATAGCACTCGTACATTATAAACTGCTCACAGTGAGCTGATGAAGCTGTCAGCTTTGCCAGTTGAGCCATATCAGCCTCCTTGTAAATGATATTGCGAGAATAGGTGCCTCGATGACTATACCCATCCACCGGTGTTCTGCTTTCGCTATCATGCCTGACAACTGTCACTCCAACATCGTTGTTGTCAATCATGTCACAGTAGACTTTAAAAGGTGTCACTCCGCCATCTTCATCAAGGTCTATCACGTAGTCGCCATTTTGTACCTCAGGGTAGGAGTGTTTGAGATCACTGCAGGTTCTATTTCCTGAAAAACAAACAGATAGAGAAAAAACGACAATTTCACGTGTGATCATCCCTCATCGTTCTTACAGAAAAGAGAAGCAATGACGAAAGAAACCATTCAAGAGATTATTTGAATATATCAACAAATTTGAAATGGTAAATTGGCCACCGTTACGGTTATAAAAGCTGACGTTTCGAGCGTTAGCCCTTCGTCATTAGCTCCGATATATTGTTGATATATTCAAATTATTTCGTTACCCCCACCGACAAATTATTTCGTCACCCCCACCGACGCAGCGCCAAACAGTCTCTTTAGAAACTATCAGCCTTTATTCATTCAAGAGATTATACAATTTGATTTCCTACAGGGTTTTATGCCATAAAAATTAGGAACAAAACGGCTGACTGAAGTCAAACAATTCATTACAATTCATATTGAAAAAATATAGGAGGACACTACAGATGGAAACAGCTGTATAATCCCATTAAGATATAATTCATTTGTTTTGTATTAAAAGAGTTTGAAAAAGTTTAGCGAGAAATTAGAAATGAAAATAGAAATAAACACGACAGTTTGACTTCTACTTTAGAGTTTGTATTTCTAAGTTCGGAGAGAAAAAAGTGAATTTAATGCCTCCACGTTTGCAGTGAGTTCCATTAAATCCAGAGTGACAATCGCAATGCTAGGAGATCCTTTCGTATTCGATTCAGGAACAAAGACATTCTCGTTCGCACAAAGAGCGCTTTCACATGGAGACTGAAAAGAGAGTCATCTTCTCACTTTAAAATATTCATTACAAAAAAAAATGGAAATCTGTAAAACTGCTAGATACGAATTAAGAGGTCTTACCAATGCTCTGTAATGATGGGAGGTAGCATTAGCATGAAACTTTTCAGTTTCTCTGTACTTGTCTGTGGCCAAAAACCCACACAGATAAAGACCACTGGAGTCAGGATATGCTGCCATGTTGAACGGATAATACTTTGGTTCGCCAACACAAAGACAATTGCAATCCAGCTGATCTTTCACCATGGACGATGAATGTTTTTCTGCCCGAAGTAGTAGAAGGGATCGCGCTTAACGTTACCAAGAGAAAGATCGCCTGTTGGATATCGATAGAGAGGGCTGTTTTGCATGGCAAACATCAAGTTAAGCAGAGATGGAAATAACAACAAGGGAGGCACAAGCAGCATGATAGTGGCCGTTGGGCCGGCAACATCTGAATGAGCTGCTTTAGGGCACAAAAGACTTTAATTGCGAATAAGAAGCTTATCTTTTTTATGATAATTGTTTGATTTTGATGATTAAAAGCCGCTTCAGTATGGAGCGGGTGCGGCGCTTCATCGATTCAATTACTAAATTTCGAGAGCTAACAGAAATAATAATTAAAAAACCTCTTCAGGTGGCTGGTATATCAGCTGATAATGTCCGCGGCTGGGATATTGTCAGATAAATGAATCTTTAGACCAGAAGCGAAGCTTCGACAACAAATGTGAATTTTTTTCTGACAGTGGCTCGACCATGCAAGGGAATTATCAGGCGACATGCCAGCGAGCCAGAAGGAGATATATTTATCCTATAACCCTCCCATTCATTTTCTTGTCATGCATTAAAATAATTTCGTGGACTTTTTTTGTACTTTTAATCGTCTAGTATAATGTTTATTACTACTGACCCTACTGGAACTCGGTTTTTGCTCAAGTTAGCAGGGATATCAGCTAGTCTGATCTACTCACTGAGAACTGTAAACTGCACTATAAAATTTTCTGTTCAAGGTAAACTGGTTCTATCGACCGAGTTGGTAACTTTAATTGGCTAATAAAGAGATTCTGTTCTTGACGTTTTGAAATAATTAATTTTTTTGAAACAATGTTGAATACACCCTCGATCCCGTTCTTGCCAAAATAAAACAAGTTCTCCGTCGTCTTAAACATAGTTAGTAGAGGGGACTAACTATGTCTTAAACCCTTTTGCAAGATGATTGATAATTCATGCATGCAAAACTCGTTTTGTCCAAATTGGGGAAAATCATAACTAGATACTTCTTTTCTTTGGCGTAATGTGCCGTTCAGGTATTTGTTCGTTTCTGTAATTCCTGCGTCTCTCAGGTAATATAGCTCCTAGGGTGCTGTT